CTTGGCCTCACAAGCAGCCACACACATACCAGCTTGCTCTAATACCATAAAATCATCCTTCTTACGATCCTTCAGAGTTCTAGGCACATATTTTTCCTAGAATGGAGCATGAAATTGGGTCCAAGTGAATGTAGGTAAAGTAGAAGATCTACAATCTATATATGGTCTTCACCATTCCTTGGACTCAACTTGATGTTCAAAGGACAAAACTCAAGCCCATGTTGGCGAACAATACACAGTTTATGCAACCTCTCGTAACAATCTAAGATAAACACATAAGAGTCTTCCGATTCAAAACCCAAAAATACAGGCTTAAGCTTCAAGAACTTAGTCAACATGTTATGCTCATTACTGGTCATAACAGAACCCAACAAATAATGCAACAAAGCATCATTACCTCCTTTTCCACTCACCTTTGGAGCAGTGCTAGAAGTAGGAGGATTGGTGAGAGAATGAGTTACTTGGACAGGTGGGGGGGGGGGGGAGGGGGAATTCGAGGACATACCAAACCATTTAAAAAATACATAGTCTGCTGCACTAGCACTCGGTCTAAGGGAGGAACAGATACGGCTTCCACTGGTACCTCTTTCTCTTATCCAATTTCTTCAATATTTCCAACTTCGATATCCTCTTCATCTCCTCATTATGCGTAGGAGGGTTCTCATTTGTAGGAACATTTTCAATTGGTACCTTATGCCCATCTTGCTGTAATCTCCTTCGACCTGTACCCCTAGTTCTTCATCAACCCCTGCTTTGACCACGAGCTCTCACTGCAGGTTTCTCAACTGGAGCATTGACTATATCTGCAGGATAAACATCATTGAACCATATATTAACCATCTGCGGACAGAAGAGTGCAGGAGGTAAGATACCAATTTGTACCACCTAGATACTGATGCTTCTTTTGATACATGATCAATGACAGTAGCTTGCAGTTTGAGTGTCTACGAATCGAAGCGAGTATCGTAACCCAACCAAGGGTTGGGGTCGTGGTCCAAGGGAGAGGTAGTGACAATAGTAGCTAAATTAGAATTTTAGTTCTAGTTAGTTATAGTTTGAGAACATATTGAATAAAAGCAAAGTAAATTTAATTTGTGATACGTAAGTGTTGAATGTCAAAAGGTTTTGTCATGAGTTTTGTAAAAATAGTAAAACCAAAGGGGAATCAAGTAATGAGAGAAGTTCTTGGTGTGCGACCACTATATTTGTTGGAGTAAACCTTTGGGTACATGATTTCGATAGGAAATTTGCAAGATAATTATGAGGCTAAGCTTTAGGTGAAAGTAAATTCCCTCTCAGAAAACTTACCCCATATAAAATAGGTGCCTCTCGGACACCCACTCGTCTACTGAAGACTAGACTACGTATGACCCACACCCGCTCTTTTGATTATGAGTGCTAGGATATGAGACTAGGGTTCACCCTCTCGGGCTGAACCTCAAATCTCCCCACTTCTTGGGCCATCAGTCTAGCGGTCTTGGTTTCGCAACCTCTCTAGAGCAAGACGAAACACATGGGTGGTTTTATATTTGCAACTACAAACCCATTAACTTAAACCAACACAACTAGGTGACATGCATCTAACCTATTAGGAAACAAGACCCAACAATAATATCAATACATATTTTCTATATCACACCCCAAGAAGGGGAATTTTTAGACACACATAAAGCAATAATCAAATATACCTAAAATGATAAAGAAATCAAATGTGTATAAGAAACTAAACCTTAATATGAGCAAAGGAAGAAGAATGGAGAAGACCCACTTCCAATTTGAGGAAGAAGAGCTCCTTTCTTCACGTCTCTCACAAAGAGTTTAGCATTTATAAACTTTAGAAATTATGTCTATACTTTATGATTCCTCTGTAAAAATAATAAAGAGTTTAGCATTTAAAAAATTCAGAATTTGTGCTGGAGAATCCATTTAGTGAGGTAAGTCGCGAATGCCGAGTGATTCGGTCATTCGCCCTTCTTCTAGAGCATCGCCGTCTGTGCTTTGCCTTCAGTCTTTTTTATCCACTTCTTGCTTTGCTTGCTAGAACAAGGGAGAAATACATCATTATGAATGATCACCAAGTATACTTGGTGACGCTCATGTGTTCCTTTTCTGCTCTTTTCATCCCTTTGTTCCCATTTTTCCCCAAAGTGTCCATGATTACACTAAAACATCAAATAAGGCCCAATATGATTGTACCCAAGCTATATCATGAAGAAAAGTAAAGGTGCCCAAGTAATATCCCAATTAGTTCTCCAATTCCTAGTGTATCCAAGTAATGATTATTGTGAAAACCAGAATATAAAGAATTGAACACCAAATAACATCAAAAGGCGAGAACCAAGCAACATTTTTTACCATCAAAGTATCAATGCACGATTCCCAACTAGAAAATCAGCTAAATTACTAGTATGGTGATAGTTTATAACTTCTATTTCATATTTATGCGAGTAAGTTTCCCAGCAATGATGATAGATAATGAGTTGGAATCAAAGCAGGTTGTTTTTGCCAGAGAACTTGGAATAGAAACTTACTTGAAACATCCAAGGCCAGCGGCTAGATGACCAGTAAAGCCCATGGCAAGCCTTGTTTCAACCATACCACCAATCGTCATATTTATGCCCGAGTACTTCACAAATGGAATAATTTCCAGATCCCCAAGAACCTTAACTTTGGCAACCTTACTGCTAATGATATCAGCAAGACTTTCTTGCACTATCCTTATAACATCAATCAAACTTCAACATTTCTCATCAGCAGCAACAAATATCCCATATTTGTCCTTTGTAATATGATTGACATGACTAAGACCTTCCTAATCATCTCTATGAATAGGTTATTCAAATAGCACTGAAGTCACATTCGTTTCTGACAGGAAATTAGAGATTTGTGATTTCTCTTTCAAATAGATAATGAGGTATCAAAACAACTGAAAAAACCTAATCATTTATAATAGAGATATGCCTAAAATATGAGAGGGAAGATAGAGAAGTGAGATTCAGTTGTTTTGTAATTCCTCTGTCCATACATATAGTGAACATTAGATCCACATTATAACTTTAAAAATGAAAATAATTTACCATGCAACTTATATAGGACTTTAAAATCTTCATTTGCCATGTAACCTTCATTAGAATCTAAGATAAACTATTAATCAGGATGTGTTGCATGCCATGATCGATTTTGGGAGTTCTACTCACCCGAATTCAATTTTGTAAAGTCATACGGATTGTTTATCGAGTTATTAACTACTCATGCAAACAAAATCATAAATGATTCACTCGATTTTTATCAAATTTCCACGCACCTCAAAGACTCTAATTTCGTCTAAATTTGGACTAGATCGGAAAAAAATCAAATACTCTAAAAATATTTTTTGACCCAAATTTTCCCCGTTGGCTTTTCTATAACGACGATAACCTAATCGTTGCAGTGGAACATTTGGATATTGAGTATTTGTCTCAATGAATATCTCTGCATTCAGTTGATTAAATAAAAAAAATATAGAAAATGTTACCTTCCTTGAACAATTACAAAAAGTTAATATTCTCATATTATAATAATTATGTTTGCTAAAAAAATTACTTACGTAAACTAACTTTTAAACGAGTTAAATATAAATTAGGTTTAGATGTATACTCCTGAATACAAATAGAATACATGTGTTAATCTTGACATTCTTCCTCAATTATAGCTTGCGTGTATTTATTTAACATAAAACATAAGTTACCCAACAATACGAACAAACCCTTTTGTGGTTCTTTCGTCGTTCTAATTTGCTTGTATAATTATAATTTTCTTAAATAATATTGTACACTTGTACTTCGAGCTCCCAGAGATCTTTTTGAAGGCATGCCGTCCCAATTAGAATCTGAATTGTAGCCATGGTAATAGAAGAATCATAAAAGTAACATTAGCAATGATATATCAAGGCAATTGAGATTTTTAATTTTGATTTTATATTAGTCACCTGATTGTAACACTAAAACTTATAAACAAAAGTAATTCAAAAAAAAAAGATGATACCTTTGAAGTTAAATTTTAGTTCAGTGTAAATGAGAATTCACGAAAAAGATTAAACACATTCCTAAACAAGAAAAATAGCATGCTTAGTTATCCGAAGAAATAATATTAATACACACTTGAAGTTGTTTTGACTTTTAAAAATACACTTTTTACACAATCTGGATTATCAATATATAATTCTTTTTCAAAATGATTAATCAATAAATATCATCCATTTGTTTATATGATAAAATAATTCAATGAAGTATAAATATGTACAATAGTTTGTTGTGATAGAAACTTTATTAAACAACAAATAAAATATCCACAAGTCACCACCACATAAGAATAGAGAACTAATTGGGAAGAGCGGTTCATATTACTCTTTTGCTGCCTAGAGTCATTCCTTGATGTCTTAGCCCTCTTATTCTTAAACTATTTTCTATCCCTCACCTTGTCATCCTGAACTTATTGTGCATAGATCATTAGTATTGCTATGTACATATCCCCTACAAACATATCAACCTTGCCTTCCTTAATTGGTAAACAAGGTAACACAACAATGAACATACTCGTCTTTCTTCTCCTATCAGCAACCATTTTGTTGATTCTCTTAGCTCACAGGGAAAGAAACCCCTTATAAATGAACTCTCAAAATATTCAAATTCTCAATCACTTACACATAAGTACGAGTTAGAAATAAACTATATAGATATGAACTCTATTTGAGTATGAAAGAATAGAAGGAATTTCCTAAATTTTGAAGCCTCCTAATTATAGACGTGGCACGCTTCACACCGATATCTAGGACTCCACAAACATTACTTCATAGACTATCTAGGACTGTTGAAATTTGTGCTCTGATATCAAGTTTGTCATGACCCGAGCCTACACCCTGGCGGGACTGACACTCGAGAACCATTGCTGGCGCCAAGTGAATCCTTGGACTTACTTACTTACTCAGTGGAAGGTTTTGAGAAAAAATAAAAGGATTCACATGATGAATAACTCAACTCTCTCAAACTGAACTCATAATGTTTTAAACATAAACATTTAACCTAGATAAAATGACAACTCAAATCTGCATATAAGAATATAACAAAATGATGACAAATGAACTAACATCTGATAGATTATCTATGAAGTCTCTAAAATAACTTAGATGGATGTTGGGACAGGATCACAACATTCTAATAAACTGACTAATACTTAAATAAGAAAAAAGGATCCTCTAGGAAGCAATAAGGCTCACAACCAGACTCTGAGTGCTCAACATGATCAACGAGGTGCTGGATGTTGATCCTGATTACCTCCGCCTGCATTATAAGATGATGCAGGACAATTGACATCAGTACATTGAATTTATGAGTATGCAAGTTGAAATTATAAACAAGACACAAGCTTAAATGGAACCGAAGAATTGAGCTGGATCAATTCAACTCAACCTAACTAAACTGATTTCAATATAAAGTAGTGTAAATAAATAGAGTATAAAGAAAAGCTTTAAAACATGGTTTTCAACTATGTGTATTTGAAAATACACTAATAACACTGTATGTATGAAAAGACAATATGAACTCTGTTTGTGTATAAAAATACAAATATCTCATATATATGCAATTACAAAATACTGATGTGAATGTTTCTCTAATCGAGAACTATCACTTAAGAGTTATCATGATTATACACCACTATGCCATATGCTGTCAAGGTCATCGTATACCTTTCCATGAGAATAGAACCTAAATTACTAATTGAATTCACTAGTCTATGCTAAAAGCTTCTTAAGGAGTCATGTAAAAAGTATGGTCCTTTACTACAACATGATAGATACATGGTTTATGGAGACTTGAGTTGATATGAACTCGTATCCCCAATTTGGTGATCAATTCTACTCCCAAAATATATTTAGCTCATACGGTTTCAAAAACAAACTTCTTTCTATGGTTTTAGATAATTACTCAAAACTTAGCTTAAAAGCTATCTTTAAATCGATATTCTCTTTCTTTCTCAAATGTGAAAACATTTTTAAACTCTTCGGAATACTTAGTTCCCTTATAGATTTTTGAGGAATGAACTCAACTTCTTACTCTTTTCTTAACTTAAAACTTAAGTCTTAGAACAAAGTTAGAACATTTTTGAAATACTTTTAAAAATCTTTAATGTACTTCTCTTGAATTGCTTCTTGATTTCTAAACTTGACTCTTAATGTTTCTTGAATTGAATTATGGATTCAAGTATCATGATTTATCATAGAAAATGTCTCAATATGTTTAGGAGTGTTTTTAGATAGCTAAACATGAGAAAAGATCGAAAGTTTACTATCTGAAACTAGTCTACAATACAGAGGTGTATTTAGATTTTGGTTGTGAAAATAATTAATGAGGCAAAATGGTCCGTGACTGCTCCGCGATGCGAAGAGAATTTTTGGGACTGGTGCGCGACACGGTACCAATTCCCTGATTTGCCCGACTTTTCCTTGTTTCGTCTTCCAGTCCCAATTCACCTAAACTCGACTATTCTTCACAATTCTTCTTTAGATTCAGATACCCCGCATATCTACCCATGAACCTAACTCAAAATAACCTTAAACTCGCTGTAAAGACCTAAGAATTTTCTCAAGTCAACCCAATTCTAGAACAGAAAATAAATTCAAGAACACCATTCAAGATTTATCAACTTTCAACTTTCTAGAACAAACTTCTCTAAATAAACAAGATTGGTGCATGGGTGAATGAACCTAATGTATGAAAGACTCACATACCTCGTAGGGATCACCCCTTGACGAAATCCATGAGCGAATCTTGAAGAACTCAACGAATTTTTCTCCTCTTTTCTCTTCTTCTTTTCTCTTCTCTAAAACTCTGGCTCAATATCGTGAGAGGGTAAACTGATTAGTGCCAGTTTAGTACTTACAATAATTACCAAAAACTAAATAACTTAATTGGGTGCAGAAAAATACCATATTACCCTTTGAAAATTCAAATTGAACTTTCCTTATTTGAACAACCCAACTTCGAATGTGAATAACTCACTCATATAAAGTTGGAACCGCGCAAACTCAGCGATGTAGGAATATGATACTTGGAATAACACCTAACTCATCTTGATCTAGGAGTTAGTAGGAATATGATATTTTGAATAACACCTAACTCATCTTGAGCTAGGGGTTATGGTCATTTGAAGTTTACCAAAAAACTCAACTCAACTTAACCATTTTTTTCAAAGCTTTTATTATTTTAAAAAAAAATCACTCTTTCTAATTCAAGCTCTTTCTAGTTCTTCCGATTAGCGAGATGTTCCCCGTATACCCCAAGGAGTTTAGAAGGAAAGGACATATAATGGTTGATTTTCTAGTTGGCTACTTTCATAAAATCGAAAAATATCCTGTTTGTAGTCATGTTGAACCATGTTATCTTTTAAAAAAAATATTACCTGATTCGCACCATATCAACCAACCTGAACCAATTCAAAAAAATAATTGAATATGTGGAAAGGGATATATGACACTTTGCCAAGTCCAATTTTTTATGCTTACATACCTTGTACTTGAAGTTGGCTGAAATTCTATGTGAAATGTTAAATGCTTGTCTTAATGTAGTTGGATAGGATAGCATCACCAACTGCTACTGAACTAGAAAGCATTGTAACGGATTGTATTGGGATATTAATATATCTTCCCAACACATACATTTTTTCTAGTTTTGGAGGAGGTGTTATACAAGGTACGTAATGTGTCGAATTTAAACTAGACTTTTCTTCCACCTTAATTATATCTTTGTATACGTTATTTGGTAGTAAGTAGTATTAAAGTATGTAGGATTAATACATTTCAACCATGATATTATTTTGGTTCACCTCTCACAGACTATTGCAATATTAATATAGCTTGGATATCATTCAAAACCTTTCTAATGTCATGTTAAAATGTTTTGGAAAAAATGATGCTGATATCTCGAAAGAAATTATTTTATTTCCTTTTATACTTGTAAGAGAATGTTATTTTATATCCTAAATATTTTCTCTCCATAAATAGTATTCTATTGCCATTATTATAATCCTTTAATAACACATTATTTTCTGTCATTATATGGATGTTACAAAATATCTCTTTGCTGAATAAATTTCCTTCAATTCATTAATTGTGTTCAATGCCTTTTATGGCTTTGACTATTTCAACATTGACATATTAGAGAGGTTAGTAATGTCCTATATAAGTCTAACTCTTAGTGATGGTGAGTAAGAGTGAAGACAAGATAACAATTCTTCTTTTCATATGTTCGTATGCTGGCTTTTCTTTTTATTGAATCTTTGTTAATTTCTGCCTATTAATTTTATATTAGAAGAACTTGTTGAATATTGGGGATACACTCATACTGGATGAAATATCTTTAAGGACGGTGTCTTTGGACACGCCTCAAGTGATGAGAATTTCCTATAAAAGATATTGGTGAAGTACAATCTTTGATGAATTTAGTACAAGTGTTTGTGATGAAATCATTTTTCCGTAAGATTTACAACAATCTTAAGAATATCTTATACTTTAATTTTAGGAAAAATACTACTTGAAAAATTGTGTAAAATAAAAAAGAAAGTGAATGGAAAGGCAACAAGTTGGATATGGATGTGTATGGACGAAAGTTCAAGCTAATAAGGTAAGTGATGATATTTTATGTTCATATTTTAATTGAATTTGCGTGTGATAAGTTTTAGAGATCGCTACTTCCATTAAGTAAATGTAAATTTATATAAGTGGATGATATAAGTTGTTGTGGTCATTTCTCAAGTAAATTTGTGAAAGTTTTTGGGTTTGATATAGTTGAACACATTTGTGTGAATTAAAATTATTGTGTCCTACACCCAAATTGGAGAAGAAGGAAAATTTTTATATATTGGTGATTATAGAACTACTTGAAGTTCTTAGAATGAAAAAATATTAAAATATTCACATCTATATATTGTCATTTCTTGAGGTGGTACATGATATTAATATTAGTGAAATTTGATTTACTTGGAATTGTGATTAAAAAAAAACATTGACACTATTTGAGGTAGTATATGATACTAATATTTGTAACGTGATTCTTGTGGAATTTGAAAAATTCATTAATTGAATTGATTATATGTTAACAAACATTATTTTGGTAGTATGTATCATAATCATGATTTATTTTGTATTTAAATATTTATCAAGTTATGATAACATGTATACATAATTGTTGACTTTAATAATTTGTTAAATTATTTTTGTTCCTTATTTCTAGATCATGTCATAGTACTCCATCTGAGGTGATCATTTTAGATTTTGACGTTATCAAATGATTTGTGCAAATATCGGTGTCATGAAATATTTTATAAATATTATTGTTCTCTAAGTCTTATTGTCAATACATAAAGTATTTTATGTGTGATGATTTTTATTATTAATTGAGAAATATGGTTTTATTATTAAAGGGGTGATTCATGATACAAGTCAGTGGTACTGGAGGTACATAAAAGTATTTTATTTAGTCATATAAAATTGAACTCTTTATGAACACTTAAAAGGTTATACCATTATTAAGAAATATTTGAAATTGTAGTGGGCTTTGCTGTAACAATCCGATTTCATCATTATGGAAATGTAAGTTGGGAAAGAATTGGGGTTAGAAAATTTTTTGGCAGTAATTTGAATTTTCCCAACCTAGTCTATATTGAGACGAAATCGGACAATTTAACATGTAGGTAAATGTGGTAACATTCGGGTGAGTTAATTATGATTTTAATTATATGAATAGCTAGATAACTCATTAAGGAACCCATACGACTTTACGAATTGAATTCAGGCAAGTAGAACTCCTGAAATTGATCTTAACATGAACATATATTTTTTGAGTGTCATGGGATGATTGTGCGTTGTGAAATGGGGATTTGGAATTCTTTATCTAGGATTATGTCTATGTATAGGCCTTCAAAGCAGGATTGGTTCTGCCAGAGCGGGATTGAGGCTGCCAGAGCAGGATTGGTGCCGCCAGAGCGTTGTCGCTTTAGTGGGATGGATCCCAATGTAGAAGTACAGGCTCAACATAAGTTTAAAATAAAACCCCAAAAACGTTTTATTCTGCACTTTTTGACTTTGAGTCTTTTACAACTTCTAGTAACTTATTTCAATACTCGAGTAAGTGAGTACGAGGACGAAGAGAATGTATTCAGGAGTCTACTTTGTCATCATGTGATCCTCCATCTCATGAACCAAAATTCTTGAATTCATAATTCACATTCAGGAGAGAGTTAAGAGCAGAGTTTAAGAAAGCCTTTGAGTTCAATTGTGAAATCTTAGAGATCCAACATTTATTTGAACTATTTTGAGGAAGGAAGTAAGAGAATGATACGAGTCATATACATGAGTTCCATGTAGTTATGTAGACCTTCGAGTCAAGTCGTTCATGCTCAGAAATTCCGTATGCACTCCACAAATTTTGAGAGAAGTTCTATGTTTAAGTTTTAAGTATTGAGTTCGTAATTCTCTTTGAGATTATATTTCTAATCATGGGACTATTACATGTTACCTATGAAGTGGTTGTGTTGAATCGTTCATGCTCATGATTCCGCATGAATCCTATAAGTTGAACAATCTTTAGATGAGAAGTATACTTGAGTTGAGTACTTCATGCTCATAATTCCGCATGAACCCTATGAATTGAGCATTCTTGAAATGAGTAGTATCATTGAAGTTGTTGAGTTTCTAGTATTGAATTTTATTTATGGTTATTGAAAACCTTACATTGAGTCATTGCTGTCCGTAATTCGGTATGAACCTTATTTTAAGAAGCCTTTTACAAATTTTTATATTTGTTTTTTAGTCTTAAGGAGTGAGTTGCGTAGAGAGTGAAAATTGAAGACATTTTATTTTAAGAAGCAAATGAGGACTATGTATTCCCAAAGACTAAAAAAATGTTTTCATATTTGGTCAAGAAAGCGAACATCAATTCCAAGAGAGATTTTAAACTAAGTTTTGAGTAATTATCTAAAACCAAAGAAAGAGTTTTGTTTTAAAAACACATGAGCTTAGTACATTTTGTAGTATATTGAGCACCGATATGGGTACACGAGTTCAGATAAATCAAGTCTCAATAAACCATGTAGTCATCATGGGTTGTAAATAATCATACATTTAAGATGACTCCTTAATTGATTTTGGCATAGAATAGTGAATCCACTTAGTTAAGACGTCCTATATGATGACAAAGTATAGGACAGTTCTGGTAGTGTGGGTAAGACATTGCATCATCTCTAAGGATTATAGTGGAGGTTGTCAGTTAGACAAACTCCCACAGAGTTGTATTATATTGTCTTTTATATATAAGTTGAGTTGTTATTGTATTCTTCAATATAATGAGTTGCTCTCTACTGTTTTAAAAGGATATATTGCATGTGTATTGTTGCTTTATATTGAGTTGAGAATCCAAAGCTGGGTACCGAGAGTCGAGTATCATATCTTCGAGTTGAGTATCTTAAGTTGAACTGTGTTTCATTGTGTGGATTACCTTATTGTTATATTTCACTGAGTTGAGAACCTTATTACTTATATGAGTACATTATCCTTGAGTACTTCTGAGTTGAGTAAGTTTGAATAGTTTTGAGTATCCTTGAGTTGACTAAGTTTGAAAGAGGTAAGTATGTTTATGTTTTATCAAGTTCAAGCTTACATTTATGCTTTAGAATTTTCCTTACATACTCGTACATTTCATGTACTGAGTCATTCATGGTCATCAAAATGAGCTTCGTTGATACCATATGGAGTTCAAGCTGTCTATGGTGAACCTCCTTGCTTTCGGAGAATTTAATTTACTTCCTGTTCAATAAGGATGCCGTGGGTCTTGTCCCGATTTCAATCTTTTATCAGGTAGAGACTTCATAGATAGTTAGTCTAGCTGAGAAGTCTGTATCATTTATTTTATTAAATGTTCTAAGGGCTTAAATTGTCTATTTTATGGTGAGTTGAATAATTTATTTTTATTCAAAGTTTTGTTTTGACTTAAATATTATATTTAAGTTTTTCATGAATTTTATTCCATTTTAAACTTTGTACGCTTAAGTAAGTCTTCGTCTTGTAATTAGTCATGATGAGAGTTTGCTTGGGGACCAACAGTGGTTTTCGCCGACCACGTCCAGGATGTAGGCTCGAGCCATAATAGAAATGTTTTTAAGAAGCTTTAAAGATGATATAAATTGAAATGGGGAATACCAGTATTGTCTTAATACATATACTAGGAGTTCAATAAAATTAGAAGATCAAACTCAATGCTAAAACTAAATCTAACTATGTCTAAAATAAGCCTCAAATTGACTAAAGATACTGCGACATTGCCCCAACTAATTATAGAAAAACTAAAACTGGAAGGCTGAAAGTAAAGGAAAACATGTCTATCGTCCTCAAAGAATAAGGTCTTACCTATTCTAATGTTGAATACTGATCAGGAATCGATCTACACGCGATCTGAATGCTGAAGTCATGAACATACATCATGAGAGATGTGGCGTAGAGTATGCGTCTGTACTAAAAGGTATTGAGGATGAAGGATAGGATAAAGCTGAACAACATACATAATTGAACAAAGCATATTGAGAAGTGATATACGAGGAACATGATAAATATACTTAACATATTGAATATTAACTAAATTGAATGCAATGACCAA